AGAGAGAGAGAGAGAGAGAGAGAGAGAGAGAGAGAGAGAGAGAGATGCCTAGTCTCAAAAATAAAGAAAAAATGGGCCGGGAATTCAGCTCAGTGGTTTTGCTGCCTGCTGCACGAGCGCAAGGACCCAAGTTTGATCCCCAGTACCAAAAATAAATAAAGGAAAAAACAAAAAAGCTGGGCATGGTGGAGCACACCTGTAATCCAAACCAAGTATGTGTTATTTCAACAAGCTCCCAAGAAATGATGTTGTAGGTACATTGGCCAAACTCTGGCTTCAAGATCCGCCCCTTTCCCTAGATTCTGGGGTAGATTCAATCCTGGAAAGACTGGGGCCTTCTCAAGGCCAGTCTGAACTACATAGGGAGACTGTCTCAAAAACAAGAGGGCGGGGATTTAGCTCAGTGGCACCGTGCCTGCCTCACAAGTGCAAGGTCTTGAGTTCGATCCCGGTACCAAAACAAACAAACAAAAAAACAAAACTGGGGCCCATCTTTGCTTCCTGTAGACAGGGGAAAGAAAAACTAATAAAAGGATGTAAAGGAATCCTCCTCACTCCCCCAGTCCTTAGGCCCCTTCTTCATACATACTGGACCCTTCTGTAGAGAGGTAGGAAGGAAAGGTGTTATCTTCCAAACCCACTTGGTGGTCTAAAGAATGGTCACGTGAGAGTGAACAATGCCTTCCAAAATTGGAGTTGCAGGGCTAGGCAGAACCTACAAGGTCAGCAACAGGGCTGTCTGAGCTGGTGGGGTAGCCCAAGGTGCCCTGGATTTCACTGTAAGAGATGGTGGGGAGGGAAGGAGCACTGAGGTGAACTTACTGTTCCCCTCACTATCCACTGTTACCAGACTCTCAACAACAGTGGGGCTGCCTAGTCTTGGTTTCTAATTTCAAAAGGAGCAGAAAACGTGAAATCAAGGGAGTAATGAACTCAGGGCTAGAACCCAGGCATGGAGGAAGCAGTCATGCAGGATGTGCAGGTCTTCAGTATGAGGACTCTTCCACCAAGAATCCTTCTTTAGGAACCCTAGGTCAGCTCAAGGATCTTAGTTCTTTGATTCTTGGATTTATTCCCTCAACTCCTCTACCAGGTGACTGATCTTATACTGCCAAATGCTGCTTCACCATTCAGTCTTACATGAATCTCCCCATCTTCTTTCCACCTGTTAGCTACACCCCTAGCATGCATTTCATTGTGCTTTATGCCTCAGCTGTTTTCTGTGGTTGCTTTTTCCATTTATCAGGACACTGCCTAAGAGTGAGGACCATGTTTTATTCATCTCTCTTCCCTCACATTCAATTCATGTGTTTAAATATTCTGGTGTACTCCTTGGGGGAAGCAACTGCATTTATATCACTTTGTGTTACCCACAGTGCTTAAGAGTTTCCTATTCACGTAATAGGGCTTTGTAATTTGTAATTTTAAGAAGTCAAAAAAAAAAAGTTTAGCTGGGCATAGTGCTGTACACCTGTAATCCCAGTACTCTGGGAGGCTGAGGCAGGAGGATTACAAATTCAGTTGGGGCCCAGTCTACACAATTTAGCGAGAGTCTGTCTAAAAATTTAAAAAGTGGCTAAAAATAAATAAATAAATTTTAAAAAGTGGCTGGTGGTAGCGACACATGCCTGCAATCCTAGCACTCAGGAAGCTGAGGCAGAAGGATCACTGTGAGTTCAAGGCCAGCCTGAGCTACATAATGAGTTCAAGCCTGGGATACCTAGCAAGACCCTATCTCAAAAACAAATAAATAGTGGCTGGCTAGGGATGTAGCTCAGTGGCACCTTGCCTGCCTGGCAAGCGCAGGGTCCTGAGTTCAATTCCTGGTACTGAAAAAATAAATAAAATAAAATAAATAAAAAATTGCAAGGGGTGGGGAGTTTGCTCAGTACAAAGGCCCTGGGTTCAATTCCCAGTACCAAAAAGGATGTGTAACAGAAAATATTCTAATATACATGTAAACATGGATTTCTATATTGTTTCCATCTTTCAAAAGACACATTAAAGGGCCGGGGATTTAGCTCAGTGGTTTTGCTGCCTGCTGCGCAAGCGCAAGGATCCGAGTTTGATCCCCGGTACCAAAAAAAAAAAAAAAAGACATGCAAAAGACACATTAAAAAAAAAAAAAGTCATGTCAGCCCAGTGGAATAGAAGACGTTAGAGCCTGCTTTCAGCTAATGACTTTTGCCAGCTAAACTGATGGGGAAGGATAGGAAGAAAAGAAAAAAGAGTAAATGAACTTCCTGGACAGAGCCTCAAACAGGGTCCTGCAAGTGTCAGAGTCCCTGACTTATCCAGAGCTCTCATGTTTTTTTAGGCACTGTGAAACATTGTCAGGACAAGTTTTTCTGGCAACTGATTGAGTAGTGGACTGGCCTTGCTTACTGTGAGGTGCTCAGGGCTGCTTAGTAGAAGATGTGAATCTCAGACAGTGCTCAGTGCAGGGCCAATGACACCTCAGCTCATCTGTGAGTCCTAGTGACTGCTTTTCAGTGTTCAGGCAAAAGCTTTGAATTTCTACCAGGAAAGGCACAGAATTTCAATTGAGCCAAGCTTGTTTCTCTCTCTGATTAGTCTGATAATCAACTGGGTAGTTACTATCATGGGAGAAAGTTATTCAGATTATATGACAAGTATCCAAGTAATCATTTTCTTATTTATTTATTTATTTATTTATTTTGGTGTAGGGAATCGAACTTAGGACCTTGCGCTTACCAGGCAGGTGCGGTGCCACTAAGCTACATCCCAGGCCCCAAGTAATCATTTTCTGGTGATAACATGTATATGTGGATGATGATCCGTACTGTCTGAGCAAGTCCTCCCATGGGTGAGGGTAAGAGGGCTAATGATCTCTGGAAAGACACAAAGAGATCTTAGGGTTCTAAACAAGCTGGGAAGGAAGATTATTAGGATAGGCCTCCTAATAAAAAATACAGATTTGTCCTTCAGAGCTCCAGGGATTCTCAGCCTGTTCCTGATCAACAAGGTAGCTGAGCACTGCCTCCTCTGGGGATCCCACAAGTTCCTCCTTTCCATCTGCTCCTGGCACCTCACTCTCTCTATTTGGAAAGCACTTTGGCTCTTACCACTACTGAAATCTTTCAGAATAATACTCTACCTGGAGGCCCTCTCATTTCCTCTGGCCACAACTAATTTCACCTTCTATGTGCACCTATTGGTTCTATAGCTCTTCCATATGCAAACTCATTATGTATGATGATGCCACACAAATATCCTGTGTCCTTATTTCCATGAGAACACCCCATGGAAAATAAAACACATGCCTCCAGGGAGTTTGCACGTGCATGCTCAGGTCCACACACAGAAATATATATGAAATACCCAGTTTATTATCAGACTAATCAGAGACAGAAATAAACTTGGCTCAATTGAAATTCTGAGCCTTTCCTGATAGGTGTCCAAAGCATTTGCCTGAATGTTGAAGAGTGGTTACTGAGCTATAGATATATAGATATGGCTTGTTATTGTTAATTAGAGTCATATTCAAGTAGAAGGGACATTTCACATCTGATTTTGAGGGAAAGAAAAGACTGTATTTGGTCTAAAAAGAGTTAACCCCCAATGATTCTTGGAACATGCCATATTTGAAAGGATGGACAATGTGGTAGGCTGAATCAGCTCCCTAACTCCTTGGTGGAGATTTCCTGAGGAATGGAAATCATTTGCCACCCATGGGGGAATGTAAGATAATGAAGATTCAGGTGAAGCGTGACTTGCAGGGGAACAGGGTTAAGAAAGAAACCTAAGAGATCTGCAGGTTCATAGAAAGCCAGGTGTGGGTCTGGTTCTCCTGCTCTTTAGCACTTTCCAAAGGTTCAGCATCCACCTCCTTGTTGCAGGAGGCTGGCACAACGCAGTAATCCAAGACCAAGCTGAAATCCCAGGTTAAATCCGAGACCTGAAAGCACTTCCAGCTCCTTCAGAGGTGAAGTGCGCGCTGGGTTGCCCAGCAACTACCTACTGCCGCGGGGGCAGAAGGTGAATGGGACGGTGAGGAAAAGTACCTGTACCTAGATTCAGAACAAGAAGGGTGGGAGGGACTTTAGAATTTACATCATCCGAATTGCCACTGCGTTTGTGAGACTCAAATTGTCTTTACCTGGGATTACAACTAGGTTGGCAACAGGTTTCCTATAAAGAACAGGTGTGGCTCCAACCTTCATGCCTGCTACCTACCCTGGCTTCCAGGAACCATCTTCCCCGGCTCCAAGGCATCCCTGATTGAGCAGCCAGCACTGGCCGTTTTGTTTTTTTTTGTTGTTGTTGTTTTTTTTTTGGTACCGGGGATTGAACTTGGGACCTTGCATTTGCAAGGCAGGCGCCGGAACCCACTGAGCTAAATTCCCGGCCCCGGCTCTGGCCCTTTAAAGGTCACCTGCGGGGGCTGACGGAGCTGAAACTGACGTGGAACCGCAGAGAGCAGTGTTAGACACGTGGTAGGAGGAAGCGTTCATTTTGAAACTGGGCAAAGGATATTTCTGCCGTGGGCTGCACATCTTTTTTTTTTTTTTGGCTGTACATCTTTAATATAACGTTAAGAGGATATCCACTCTTGCTTGTTTTTCTTTATTGCTTTCTCAATACTCTCGTGATACTTCTCTTGAAGAAAAAATGTAGTTTAAAATGACGCTTATGTTCCCTCTTGCTCTCTCTTGCCCATATTAAAAATGGCGCCGTCGCCTTCCGGGACGTAGTTCATTTAGACTTGACGATCCGGGCGGAAACTGGGTAGGCAGGTGCTGCAGAACAGAGCCCAGGTTGCTTTACAAAACCTCTTGAGGGAATCCCGAGGGCGGGTCAAATCCGAGTTGTTGGGCTTTGCTCCGCCTCACGTGGGAAGACTCCGCTTTTGGGGAGCGGTCGTTCCTTACTGCTGAAACCTCTGTGCTGCTTCCCAGCTCGCCAGTTAGCTGAGTAGGCTGCGAAGCGGGATCTTTGGTCACCATGTGGGCCTTCCCCGAGGTGCCCATTCCGCTGCTGGTAAATTTGATCGGCTCGCTGCTAGGATTTGTGGCCACGCTCACCCTCATCCCCGCCTTCCGTGGCCACTTTATCGCTGCGCGCCTCTGTGGCCAGGACCTCAACAAAACAAACCGGCAGCAGATGTGAGCAGTGGCACAAGGGTGTCGGGGCGGGGCGGGGGGCGGGTAAGGGGTGGGCAGGGCAGGGACGAGCACTGAGGTGCTTAAATGTGTGCGCGAATTGAATTTAACCCGAGCAGTCCGGGATCCTGGAAAGTGATGGACAGAATTGGGTAGCACTGGGGAATGATGGGGAAGGGGACCCATGAGTGAATCAGGAACTCCTAGTAGTGGGGCCCTCCTTTTCCCCGCACCCCGCTCCCCAACAAACTACTGGGAAGACCTTACAGTTACTGTAATCTCCCCAACTGAGTGACCACGCCCATTTCCTCTTCCTCCTCCACCCCCCTTGCCGTTGGGCCACAGCCCAGAATCCCAGGGAGTCATCAGCGGTGCTGTTTTCCTTATCATCTTGTTCTGCTTCATCCCCTTCCCCTTCTTGAACTGCTTTGTGGAGGAGCAGTGTAAGGCATTCCCCCACCATGAAGTAAGTGGGCTAGTGGGGGCAGGTGCCTGGGGTCTGGGAGGTACCAGAGAGAGTTGGGGTTGTTTGGACTTGGGAGGAGGGGCTGAGGAACCAGCGGAAAAGACAGAAATTTTGGAAAGGTTGAATGGGAGTAGGCTTGAGTTGTGACCTGCCAGAGCTTCCCCCAGTTTGTAGCCCTGATAGGTGCCCTCCTTGCCATCTGCTGCATGATTTTCTTGGGGTTCGCGGATGATGTGCTGAATCTACGATGGCGCCATAAGCTGCTGCTGCCCACAGCTGCCTCCCTGCCTCTCCTTATGGTCTATTTTACCAACTTTGGCAACACAACTATTGTGGTACCCAAGCCCCTCCGCCCAATTCTTGGCCTGCATCAGGACTTGGGTGAGTATCCCTGCTGCCACTGTCCTTGTGGCACTTCAGGTCACCCTCCCCCGAGGTGCCCAGCAGAGCACCATTCCTGGTGTTCCACATTCCCCTGTTCCTGTTCTGTCTCAGTGTCTGCTCAGATCCTCTCTGGTGACCCTTCATCATGTGTTCTGTTCTCTGGATACCCTTAGATCCTTCCCTAGGTGTCACTACTTCTTTTGATACCATGTCTTCCTTGCAGGGATCCTGTACTATGTCTACATGGGGCTCCTGGCAGTGTTCTGTACCAATGCCATCAATATCCTAGCAGGAATTAATGGCCTAGAGGCTGGCCAGTCACTAGTCATCTCTGCTTCCATCATTGTCTTCAACCTGGTGGAGCTGGAAGGTAGGTGGGATTGGGAATAGGGAGAGAGAGATCTCAGAATTGCCTGATAATATAGCTTTGAGGAATTCAGGGGGAAAAACAATATGGGAGTAATTACAGAAAATGGGGAAAGCTATTTACTTTGAAAATAACAGTGAAGAATTACTAAATGTGAGAAAGAAAAATAGCAGCCTGTCATTTATAGCTGGGTTGGCATGAATAGCTAGACCATGATTGTTTCCTATTGGACATAAACAGTTTCATAGAACCCCAGCATCAGAGAAGGGCTCTCTAATCATGGTGGAACAAGACAAAAACCAGACTCCTCCTACTGTAATCATGTCTGAGCACAGACAGAAGGACAAGAACACATGGGGCTGGGGATTTAGCTCAGTGATTCCAGTGCCTGCCTCGAAAGCGCAAGGACCAGAGTTCAATCCCTGATACCAAAACAAAAACAAAGAAACATAAAAGGACAAGAACACAAGAGTAACCAACATCCCCTCTTGTCTAATGTGAGAGACTGCAGCTTCTTTGCAAGAACAACTCAGTTCCTGCTGCTTCTTAGATAAAAATTATTAAAATGTTCAGAGAATTACTCCTGCTTTCTGACAACACCCAGTTCAGAGCACAACTTTCCTTGCAGCTTCCCCAAAACCATCCAAAGTGAATCCAATAAGTCTCTCCTAACCACCCTTGAGTGATTGCCTAGCATGAGGCCCTGAGTTCAATCCCCAGAATTACACACACCCGCACACCCACATGTGCGTGCGTGCATGCACACACAGCTGCAAAAAAAAAGTACTTATTAAAGGTAAGCAGGGCTGGGGATTTAGCTCAGTGGTTCCACCGCCTGTCTCAAGTGGAAGGTCCCAAGTTCGATCCCCGGTACCAAAAACAAAACAAAAAAATAAAAAGAGCTAGAGATATAGCTCAGTGCTGAGGTCCAGGGCCCCATGTGAAGACAGCTGTGTGTGATACGTATTATCATCAGCCCTGTGCCACACACTAGGTAGTAAAGCTGGTGTTCAAGTGTAGGTCAGACTGTCTGGACAAATTGAAGACATTAACTAGTTCTTGAAGGTTTCATGAAAGTGGTGGGATATTGGGAACTTCCTGAGTGACATGAAAGGAGTGGTGGGTTCTTGAAAGTGGCTTGGGTGAGGTGAGAAATACAGCTGGCATCAGAGATAGGGATAAGAGACAGACAAAATTAGGAGCAGGAGAGCTGGCCGTGGTGGCACACGCCTATAATCCCAGCACTCAGGAAGCAGAGGCAGGAGGATCACTTCGAGTTGAAGGCCAGTCTGGGCTACATAGTGAGTTCATTGTCAGCCTAAACTACAAAGCAAGACCCTGTCTCAAAAAACAAAACAAAACAACAACAAAAAATTAGCAGGGTATGTAGGGGATATGGGTATTAACTTTTCCTTCTTGTTCCTTTTCCCCAGGTGATTATCGGGATGATCATGTCTTTTCCCTCTACTTCATGATACCATTTTTTTTCACCACCTTGGGATTGCTCTACCATAACTGGTAAGGAGGCCTGTGGCTAAGGGAGACAAGTATCTGATCATATGGCAAAGATGGTCCTGATCTTCATCCAGCTCCTGATGGAGAGGCTGAACTTGTGCATACTTTTGCTCAGGGTTTTCTGGGTGTTCAGTTGGTAGTATTCTGTCATTATTTTGTATTTATTTATTTTTCTTGTGGCACCAAGGATCAAACCCATGGCCTCTTGAATGCTAGGCAAGTGCTTTACTACTGAGTTATACCCCCAGCCCAGTAGTATTCCAAGATTTGGTCTTTTCTCAGCAGTTGGAGACAAGTGCTATGGAACCCCAGAAATAACTATGGGTACTTGAGTTCTGCAAAGTTACTGGGACAGCTGGAGTCTCCTCTCAGTCAGGGTAGCCAGGCATGGTGGCATATACCTGTAATACCAGCACTTGGCTAAGGCAGGAGGATCACCATGAGTTCAAGGCTACATAGCAAATTGAAGGCCAGCTTGGACCACATAGTGAGACCCTGTCTCAAAAAAAAACAACCCAAAAAACAACAACAACAACAACATGGGGCCAGAGATTTAACTCAATGGCACTTCGCCTGTCTCACAAGCACAAGGTCCTGAGTTCAATCCTCAGTACCAAAAACAACAACAACAACAAAAAATAAAAATAAAAAATAAAAACAACAACAACAACAAAAAGAAGTAGGGTCAATTTTAGACCAGTACCTAGTGTGTGTGATGTGAGAGAAAGGATTGCTAATGCCTCTTACCACTGGCTCAGATCCTTTCCCCTACACAGGTACCCATCTCAGGTGTTTGTGGGAGACACCTTCTGTTACTTTGCTGGCATGACCTTTGCCGTGGTAGGCATCTTGGGACACTTCAGCAAGACCATGCTACTCTTCTTCATGCCACAGGTGTTCAACTTCCTCTACTCACTGCCTCAGCTCCTGCATATCATCCCCTGCCCTCGACACCGTATACCAAGGTAGCCATTTGGGGGTTTGAAAGAGACATCAAAGCCTTTCACTTGGGATATCTTAAGCCAGTCTATACTTTTGATATGCAAAGGATGTGGGGCCAAAGAAGGGGTCTTCCCATGTAGGTAGCCCTTTAAGTTTACAAAGTGCATTTATTTACATAATCTTATTTGATCCTCACAGTAGTTCTGATCATACAGTAGTAAGCAGCAGAGCTAGAAATAGATCTCACTCCATGTTCAGTGGTTTTCCTAGTAATTAACCCCAGGGAGGAAAGTTCTGAGTAGTGACCTAGTTGCATAAAGCTGTCTTCCCCCTACAGACTCAATACCAAGACAGGCAAACTGGAGATGAGCTATTCCAAGTTCAAGACCAACAGCCTCTCTTTCTTGGGCACCTTTATTTTAAAGGTAACAAGGTAACAAGGAGGTAAGGCCCCAGGCCGCCATCCTGAACTCAGGAAATGGGCACCCAGACCTACATTAGATTCAGGGGGAGCTTGGAAGCATTAAGGACATCCCTGTTCCTGAAATGCAGGTATTAGCTGAAGTTCTGTCCACCTGTGGTCCCTCTAGGTAGCAGAGAGACTCCAGCTAGTGACCGTGCACCAGAGTGAGGATGAGGATGGTGCCTTCACTGAGTGTAACAACATGACCCTCATCAACTTGCTTCTTAAAATTCTTGGGCCCACACATGAGAGGAACCTCACATTGCTCCTGCTGCTGCTACAGGTGAGTCTGGGGCTGAGTTTGTGCCTCCTTGTTTCCCTTTCTCCATGTTTCTTATTCTACTTCATTTCTTCTTGCAGATCTTGGGCAGTGCTGTCACCTTCTCCATTCGGTACCAGCTTGTCCGACTCTTCTATGATGTTTGAGTTCCTGAAGATTGCCCTTTAGCACACAGTCTCCAGGGTCCTGACTGGGGCCAGCCTGTCTGGTCTCAGAGTGGGCCTCTCCCAATCTTTACTCTCCTCCAGATTTTATTCCCAGCATTTTCTTTTTCCTGTGATTATTGACATCCTGGGCTTTTTTTTTTTTGCCCTCCAGTGACTATTAATTGGACTTTGCCTATGGCCTTCAACTATTAAGCCTAAGGCGGGATGTAGCAGCTTCTGTGCAGATATCCACTACTCAGCTTTCAGAGTCCTAACTCTCAAGGAATATGCTGGCCCTTGAGGTAGAACCTGGGCTAGGGCTAGGGACACTGGCTCAAAGGTGACTTGAAATTTGACTATAAATTAAGTGTTCTGATTAGTAAGATAGAGCCAGGTGCTCGCATGGTGACAATAAAGTGTTACCTTTTTCTTATTGTTCCTGTAGGTGAATTTGCTATATAAGTATTTTAAGATAGATTGGGAAAGTTGGTGGAGGTTCCTTTTCCTGGGATGCCTATCTCTGCCCCAGCAGACCCATTTTAGCAAGAAGTGGAAAGAACTGAGCCGTGCATGGTGGTGCACATCTGTAATCCCAGCACTCAGGAGGCTGAGGCAGGAGGATCACCTCGAGTTCCAGGCCAGCCTGAACTACATAGTGAGACCCTGTCTCAAAAACAAAACAAAAGGGCCAGAGATTTAGCTCAGTGGCACCACGACTGCCTCCCAAAGTCCTGAGTTCCATCCCTGGCACACACACAAAAAAACAAAAAACAAAACCATAGTGAGATCCTATCTAAAAAAAAAACAGAACCAAGACCAGTCAAAACATGTCGAATGTTGAAAGTACTGGTATTTTAGATGGTATAGAGGGCTGGTAAAATCTACTTTCTGGGAGAGGATTGAATTTTCAGGTCTCATTTCTTCAGTTTTACCCTTGCCGGATAAAAAGAGGGAGTGGGGAGTGACTAGACCTGGGAGGAGAGAAAAAGGAAGGAGTAGTAGTAACCCCTTTTAGCTATTTTTTTTTTTGTACCGGGGATCGAACTCAGGACCTTGTGCTTGCTAGGCAGACACGGCGGCGCCACTGAGCGAAATCCCTGGCTAACCCCTTTTAAAAATCCTAGATTAGCACAAAATTTGCCGAAGACTAAGTGGCTTCAGATTCCACTGTTTCTCTTCCGGTTCTGGTTTCCCGCTGTAGCGTTTAAATCTCGCGCTCTTTCCCTAGATTGGCCACCTCTGGAGGAGTTTGGCCGACTACGTGCTATCACTCCTCCTCGTCGACTTCCCCGGGGCAAAAGGTTTTCAAATTCTACCAATCGCTGGGCGCGCTCCCTCTTTCGGGGCACGTCAGGGAAGGGTTAACCACAGTCAACCGGAGGCGGGTATTAAGGGAAAAGAGCCAATCAGGAGAGCACGGGGGGGGGGGTGCCCTGGGGGCTTATAAAGGCGGCTCGTGCTGTGCGCGGCAGCAGTTGTGCTGCGGCGGGCTGTCTTTGTGCTGTGTTTAGGAGTCGCTACTCTTCACCCATTCTACCTCTTGCACTATGTCCGGCCGGGGCAAGACTGGCGGCAAGGCCCGTGCCAAGGCCAAGTCGCGCTCTTCGCGCGCCGGCCTCCAGTTCCCCGTAGGCCGCGTACACCGGCTGCTACGGAAAGGCCACTACGCCGAGCGGGTGGGTGCCGGCGCGCCGGTGTACTTGGCTGCCGTGCTCGAATACCTCACCGCCGAGATCCTGGAGCTGGCGGGCAACGCGGCCCGCGACAACAAAAAGACGAGAATCATCCCCCGCCACCTGCAGCTGGCCATCCGCAACGACGAGGAGCTCAACAAGCTGCTGGGTGGCGTGACGATCGCCCAGGGAGGCGTCCTGCCCAACATCCAGGCCGTGCTGCTGCCCAAGAAGACGAGCGCCACCGTGGGGCCAAAGGCGCCGGCGAGCGGCAAGAAGGCCACGCAGGCCTCTCAGGAGTACTGAGGGCCCCCGCGCCAGCCCCCGGCCCTCTCTATGCCACCACAAAGGCCCTTTTAAGGGCCACCATCGCCTCACAGAAAGAGCTGAGCCACGCGGAGCTGCGGAAACAGCGGCCGCGGGGCCCCCCTCCCCCCAAAAAAGCCCCGGTCCGCGCGCCCGCGCCGCCTTCCCCTCCCCCCCGCGCAGCGCGGGAGGCCTCGCCCCCGCTGTCTGCCGGCAGGTCCGGGACTCGGCTACCGGTCCTCAGATCCCGATGGCGGTGGGGGGGAGGGGGCGCGGCAGCTTCCTGAAGCCTCGGGCTTCGCGCCTTCCCAGGCTGCGGTGCCCAGACAAGGCCGAGGCTGGCGCCCTGAAGGTGAGTCCCTTCGCACCTGGACGTCTGTTACCCGGCTGGTGCTTAGCCCTCGGCAGCACTTTGCAGACGTGACTGCTGAGCTCCAGGCTTTGGTGGGGGAGAATTTAACTTATTTGTTGAGGTCTGGTGTTCCCTTGTTGCCCAGTCCCGGAGCTTTTTCGTCAGATCTCCATCTTCATTCATAGGCCTGTGTGGCTCGGCTAGAACAAAGCTGTATATGTAACACGAGCAGCTTCCAGAGATGACTGCCTCCTAGGAAGAAGTTTGGGAGAGGGCAGAGGTCTTCCGTTTGGATTCAGAGCTGACTGAGAAGCAGGAGTTGTGTTTATGCTGGGAGAGACTGGCTGTCGGGCCTAGCCACCCTATTTCCCTTCCAGCGACCCAACTCAGCAATCCCCAAGTACCTAGATACCAGCAGCACAAATCAGTTATTATCTGTCTGGACTGAGCCTCTGTTGGCTTGTGAATTGGAATTTTGCAGCTATAACCCATCCAAGACTAGAACTTTAGGTAATGGGGAGTTTGAGATGGACTGACTTTATTAAAGGATTTTTAAAAAATTAAATGTCTTGTTTTTCATTTTGCAAGAGTTGTAAGATTGATGACTGCACACGTTCCTTCAAATATTAGGGGTGGGAGACACAAATAGGCTTCTACTGTTTGGTGGGCTTTTGGTTTTTTGAGACAAGGTCTCACTGTATAGTTTAGGCTGGCCATGAATTCAATATGTATCCCAGGCTGGTCAACTCAGGTGATCCTCCTGCCTCAGCCTCCTAAGTGCTGGGATTACAGGTATGTACCACCACCTCCAAATAGGGTTCTGTTAACTGGAGAAGAAACAGGTTGTAGAATTTTTTTGTTGTATTCTAGATTGAATCTGGGCTGGGTGTGGTGGTACTTGCCTGTAATCCCAGCACTAGGGAGGGAAGCAAGAGGATTGCCTGGAGTTGGAGGCCAACCTGAACTACAAAGGGAGATCTTGCCTCAGAAAAAAATGGGGGGTGGGGGCGGATTTTGCTCAGTGCCTTGCAAGCACAAGGTTCTGAGTTCAATGATCCCTGGTACCAAAAAAAAATTTCTGGGGCTTTCACATTAAGCTACATCCCTAGCTCTTTAATTTTTTCATACAGGATCCAGCTAAATTGCCTAGCCTGGACTTGAATTTGTGAGCTTCCGGTCTCAGTCTCTCAAGAGTACTGGGATTACTGGTATGTGCCACCACACCCCACTGAGAATATAGGATTTTTTTGTACCAGGAATCAGTGAGCTACATCCCTAGCCCTATAATATAGGATTTTAAGGCAATTTTTCGCTTGCTTTTTTTGATGTTCCCTGGGAAACAACTGATTCTGCTTGACGTAACTACTGAAGTGAGACAAAGGATGTCCAAGAGAAGTTTGGACAGAGGGCTCGGACTCAAGGATTAAAGGGTTTTGTGTTTATTCATGTCTTAACCCAACCCCACCAAAAAAACTTCAGGGCTGGTTATTAGAGCTGGTTACATTCACTTTTTCTTTTAAGAGATGAAGCCCCCCTCTAAAGAGGAAGCAGGCAAGGCAGCTGGCAAGCTCTGAAGTCTCAGATCCTGCAGTTTGGGGTAATCACTCCCCAGTTAGCACAAGGCACTGAAGGCCAGGTACAGGCACAGTAAAGCGACCCAGGCACCTGTGCCCCACAGACCAGTTAATGGACATCATTAAGCTGCCGTGCGACATCCAGGATGTTTTTGGCTCCTTTGCTTAGCAACAGATTGGCCAGGCTGATGCCCAAGTTCTCAGCAGCCAGTTGGGCTCCTCGTGGAATGTTCTGGGCAGTGATGCCGACCAGCTGGGGATCATCCTCTGGGCCATCCTCATGCTGGATGAGGGTAGGAGGTGGAACTGGTGAGCTCGAAAGGCAAGACTACATGCATTGTTTTTACTCCCTCCCGCATCTTCCAGCCTTGGTACCTGGACAGGGACATGGATGGTAGCCTGCATAGTCTCTTGCATGCTATCTGAGCCATCTAGACTCCAGACTCCTCCAGTCAAGTACAGCTGAGAAAGAAAATGGTGACCTCAGCATATTCTGAGGGGACGGCTTAGAAACCTAGGATGCACAGGGAGAAATGCCATAGTCCTTTCTTCTCTGTCTTCCCACCCTTTTTTCCCTGCTTACTTGCCCATCCTTCATCACGGTGTGCACCGCCACTGGCACACTGCAGCCTCCTTCCTGCAATGAGAAGTTCCACCCCGTGACCACAGCTCACAGGACATAACTTAGTTCAAAGTTTTTGGTTTTTTTTTTTTGGTACTGGGAATCGAACTCAGGACCTTGTGCTTGCAAGACAGGTGGCAGGACCACTGAGCTAAATCCCCAGCCCATAACTGCTGGGCCCAGACCTGGGTCCTCCATACCCAATATTCAACAATGAGTTGTCACTACATGCACAGCACTCATTTGAGAAATCTCCACTTGCCCTTCCTAGCTGCCCACGTCCCCACCCCTCCACAGGGGAAGTGCAGACCCTACCAAGTGCCTCAGGAAGGCCCTTTCGGCGATGCAACGAAGCAGAGTCTCAGGATCATGCAACACATCCACTAGATTCAAGACGTCCTGGTCCTTGGCTCGGACTTCCACACCCAGGGCCCCCTGACAGAAAAACATCAGGCTTGATTTTTCCCCACCCAATGGTGATAAGGATAGGAACTACCTCTTCCCCACTTGCTCCCCAGGCCCTTTTGGGCCAGTAACATCCCAAGGAAGCAGATGCCTATGGCTGAGACTAGCTTCTTGGTTGAGAAGAGAGAAGGGGCATGCTAACAAGTGCTTTCTCTGGTCAAGCTCACCTGGCCCACAGCATACATACACTCCTCAGGGTGCAGGATCTGTGGAACCAAAACAGGCAGTCAGAAAGGTGTAGGGATAGGGATGTCCCAAAGCACCCGGCAATGAGATGGGACATGGCTATCATCTAGAAAGACGGGTTGGCACAAGCAGGAGTCTGGCCTCTGATTCCCAGCCTGGGACTTGTTTGTAGCTTGTAGTGTTAAAAGTGGGTGTTCAAGAAGAGTACCGGCAGGAGGGAGACACAGATTAAGGAGAGGGGTGGCCCTACCTGCCCCACTCTGTTCTGCCAGCCCAGACGCTGCAGGCCAGCAACAGCCAGGATGATGGCACTGAACTCCTGCTGTTCGTCCAGCTTCCGCAGTCGGGTGTTGAGGTTGCCCCGCTGTGGAGAGATGCTAAGGACCATTGGAGCCATAAGCAGTTTGCTCTGCCTGAGTCTTTCCCTTTCTAGCTGGCTGACTTATCTTCTAGTTCTCAGCTTCATAACCCACAGCTACCATCCTTTATCTGCATTGTTCTAAAGAGCCTCCCTTATGACAACTCACTTTGTTTTCACAATAACCACCTGAGAGGCATTATCATGGTCCCACTTTACAGATGAAGACAATGATAGAGAGGTTAAATAACTGCCCCAAATTATAAGACTTCTGGGAAGTCTTCTCTGATGAACAAGTCTGTTTTTGAACGTCCAAGCTACATACTTCCAGAGAATTCCCTTTTTCCCCTGTTGGAGCACTTAGCACATACTATTTTCAAAATTAATTTATGAAGCCTGGCATGGTGGCACATTCCTGTAATCCCAGCTGAAGCATGAGGATGGCTGTGAGTTTGAAACCAGCTGGGTTACATAGTGAATTCAAGGCCAGCCTGAACTCATAGCAAGACCCTGTCTCAAAATAAAAAAAAAAACCTTCATGAAACACACTGCATGGGCATTGTAAAAGTCAAAACAATATAGTAGCATCTAAAGTAAAAATGGAGGGCTGGGGATTTAGCTCAGTGGTTGTGCCGACTACCTGGCAGCCTGCCTGGCAACCGCAAGGACCCAATTTCGAGCCCTCTACCAAAAAAAAAAAAAAAAAAAGATAACAGTAAAAATGCAGGCACTCTCTACCTCCCCAAAAGTAATCACTGTTCAGTATTACTCTGTATTGTCACTGCCTATCTCTGTCTACCTAAAATATAAACTCTACAGAAGGAGTGACTGTTTATCTTAGTATTATCTCCAGCCCCAGGCACCTCCCTGAGGCTAAGAAAATCTTAAAGGATTGTGGATGGATGGGTGGGTGGGTGGGTAGATGGAAAGACAGCTCACTGCCCCGTGGGGCACTTGCTCTGGAAGCCAATTACACTCTAGATTTTGTCTTTTTCCTTGGCTGATACCCACTTCCTCTTCTAAAAGGATACAATGCTCTTGAACTCCAGATGTGGGAACTTTCTCTGCAGCTGGGCTGCTCTCCGAAGGGAGCTGGTCCCCACCACGCTGCCCAGAAGACAGGGTTTAAAATGAGATTTAACACAGGGCAGCTCTATTCTTTTGGTCCTTCTCCCATTCCCTGTCTTCTGTGTACATCCCACCCAGGTGCCCATCCAGGTCGCACTCACCTCTTCTCTGGCAAGGTTTGTAGAGTCTTCCCCACAAATTTTGGGTGAAAGACAACGGCATCGTAGGGGCTTTCTCGCCTGGGTAAGGAGGGAAGTTCATGGAATGAGGGCAAAGTTTTAATTCAGGTCACATCCATTCTCTCTCAATAGCCGACTAAGTTACATTTTCTGAGTTTTCTGCCATGCAGAAAGGACAGGCACCCTTCAAAGCAGAGGATCAAGTCCCAGAAGGAAAAGCAAAGGCTCTGCTGAGGTCCACCCCCTGGTCAGGGACCCCTTGCTCACACAACTCTTACTTGCAGATGGCTCCAATGGTGAAGCCAGGAGGTAGCACAGTAGGCAGGTCCTTCAGGGAGTGAACAACCAGGTCCACTCTATAAGATGGGAGAGAGGCAAAGAGAAAAGGTTTGAGCAGCCAGCCCCCACTCTCCCTCACCCACTGTTGCTCTACTTCAGCAGTGAAGCCAAGGGCAGCTCAGGAAGCAGGCCGTCCCAAGCCCTCGGGCCCTAAGATCTGCTCTGCTGCCTGCCCTCTATCCCATTCCACTTGCCAATTTTGCACGCCAGACAGCCAGAGACCCTGAACTAACAAACTCTCCTGTCCGGAAGCCTGAACCCTACTTAGGAGCACCCCCCCCCTTCTGATGGTCTAAGCCAGCACAGCCTTGTTAATATCTGGATCCAAGCAAGAGACTGAGGGGTGCCATACTCTCCTGTCTTCACTTACTCATTCCTCTCCAGGGCATATTCCAGTTCCTTCGTAAATAGGCTCTTCTCTCCAATCTGTTAGTCGAGAAAGAGCCTCAGAGTGACACTCTGAGAGGAAGGAAAAACAAGGCGGGGGAGGCGGCAGGGACTGGGGAGGAAGATGTTACCTTGGAGAGGGCAGTGTCAAGAATCTTGTCCCCTGTGGTGGACATAGCAACTGAGAAGAGAGTCAATCAGGTACTCATTAACAGGCATTTATTGGGCCCTTATTGTGTCTATGCTAAAACTCATGGTGGGGACAGAGAGCCCATAAGCACCTTCCCCCTGGGAAGGTACAATAAAGGAGGACATAACAGGGGAAGCAGACACATTCACAAAAAGACCCAAGGGGGAGAGTATTAATTCCAGGCCAATCCAAGCAGTCAGAAGTACAGGTGTTCAAGGAGAGCCCTCTAACTGGGAGCAGCCAAGAGTGATTCTTGGCAGCAGGGGCCTAAGCTCTGGTCATAGGCAAAGCCAGTAACACTGTGCTCCCCTCTCTCAACCCAAGGTGTACTGGCTTCCCAATAACCTCCGCTCTTCCCCAGAAAATTTACCAATTTCAAACTGCAGGCCAGGGTATAAGGCTTTCAGCATTGCCACAACAGTGTCCGTCTGTATGCGAGCCAACTAGGGACAAAGATTCGGATTAGTCCTTCCCTTCCCTGGCCATCCTTAGCTCAGATCCTCATAGTGTCAGTGAGATCCTGAAGGGACTGGAATTCTCACCTGGGAATGAGAGGGGGCTGGCTTGGGAGTCCATCACACACCAACTTCCATAGCCCAGGAGCTATCTTTCCTTATGGAGCAATCTGCCATTCTGCACTGGATTTAGACCCCAGCCACTCCATTTTCTCTAGGCTGGGAGCTAACCCTCTGGGCCCCCTCAACTTGTGAGCCTGTGAGCACTAGAACTCTTTTTTTTCTTTTTTTTTTGGTACCAGGGATTGAACTCAGGACCTTGCGTTTTCAAGGCAGGCACTGAAACCACTGAGGTAAATTCCTGGCCCTAGAACTCTTTTAATAAACCTCCTCCACCCTGTGTCTGCACTCACCTGGCTTTTACGGGTACCCACTCGAATCACTCTCATCTTTGAGCCGTCTTCTTCCTGCAGAAAAAGTCCCCAGGTTACAGTCCCCTCTGCTCCTTGTGTTTCTCAAGGCCTTGTCCAAGAACCAGAGTCACTGGTTTAGAAGAATGAAACTTCAACCTCTGTGTGGCCAGTGAGTCTTAGAGTGGGCAAATTCTCCAAGAATGGTCCCTCCACCTTCCTTAGTACCTTCTGCTCTTTTCTGAGATCCAGAGAAGCAAAGACCAGAGGGAAACAACACTAAGATCTGCTGTAGCAGCGGCAGTAACCAGGACACTGAGCCCCAAGGCCTACCCTGGCCAAGGCAGGTCTCAGTAGGAGTGCTGCACCCAGCCGGGTGGGTGAAGAGATAAGGCCCATCAGCCTGGCTACAGGAAGGGTGGGGCCTGCAGCTGGCTGGGGCAGGGCAGCTACAGCCACACATCACTTGAAGACAGGTTCACTATCCACTGGAGAGCTGATGTTCAAGAAAGCATCAGTGCCACATCAGACACCAAGAGCTACCTCACAGCTACCACACAAAGAGTCCCTTAATCTGAATGGAATGCACAGTAGTGTCAACCAATCCGATGTTCAGTCCTGCTCAGCATCTTGGCTGGGTGACCTTGGGCACATCATCCTATCAGGGGCTGTTGGTTCATCTATGGAATGAAGTTTCTTCTGCCTCAGAAATCCTGTAAGACTGTGAGGCTGAACTGCCTCAAGTCTTCAGTGCTGCTTCTGGTTTCACCAACAAGTAAATGGGGTATCAGAGCCCAAGCCAAGAATTCAAAGGGACACACCTCTTCTTCTTGCCAGGGCACCTTTCACAAAGGCTCTTCAGTCTGACACACAGTTCCTGTTTCTTTCTACTTCAGACAGGAGCCACTGAAGAAAAAGACAACTTTACCTGCTCTTCAATCTTCATCCCACAGAGTTCTTTTCCAGCCAGACAGCTGGGGCCTCTGATGCTGGAGGAGGTGAGAACTGCCTTCCCTTGGATTCTAGTCTATTCTGTGATCACTCCTTCAATAAATTAACTCTCAGAGGCCCTTTGCACATTTGGCTAGGCTTGAAATGCTAAACATGGCCACTAGAATTTGAGACCATAGGGTGCCCACAGAAAGGAATCTAAGGACCCAGAACTGCTAGATTCAAACAGTTCTTTAAATTTACTGAATCTGAACAGCACATTCCAGTCAAATTGTTCCATTAAGAAATAAGTATTTGCCAGGCACACTGGAACTCCTCTGTATTCCCAGCACTTGGGTAGCTAAGGTAGGAAGATGACTTGAGCCCAGGAATCTGACAGCACCCCAGGCAACATAGCAAGACTCTCTTTAAAAATAAAAAAAAAAATGTATCTATCTATGATCTCAGCCAGCCGTGGTGGAGCACACCTGTGATCCCAGCACTCAGGAGGCTGAGGCAGGAGGATTACTGAGTTTGAGGCCAGCCTGGGTTACATAGTGAGTTCAAGGTCATCCTGAACTACATAGTGAGACCCTGTCTCAAAAAAATAAATAAAAAATAAAATCTCAACCATTTATATGCTAGAGCATTTGCTTTTGCATTTTATCTTCATGACAATCTTATTCCACTTCTCCCAGGATGTTACAGAAGCAAAGGTTGGTGCTGAGAGGTGAAACAATTTGTTGAGGTGATACAGCCAATAATGGGCAGAGAGCCGACCCTGAAATCCAGGTCTTCCTCCTTCTAGCCCAGTGCTCTGGAATGTCTGCTCTAGCAAAGAATCATCCCACCGCTCACAGCCGGCTGGGCAGGGGGCGATAAGCAGCTGCTCTATCCATTTTATCTCGGCCTCACAGCGGCCTGTGGTTTGCACAAGCCCAGAGCTCAGTAAGCAGGCTCCGTTCGCATGGGAGGGCTCAGAGGTGGCCCATCCCACGACAGTAATGCAGTGGTCTCATTTGGGGACTCTGAGAATAGTCTGGGGCTGGGTGACTGCTATAACGGAAAAAGGGAGAAGCCCCAAGATGTTTATGTGCAGCTCGGAAAGTTGGGGGTATATTCTCCTCTGGATCAGAAGTGGAACGTCTTCCAACGTGGCCGCACCCGTCCCAGACCGTACAGTGTGAAAGGACCTTGTCCGTGTAGACAACTAGAAGAACTATAGCAAAGCATACCAGGCCTGGGCCAGAAGCCCGAAGGGATGGGGATTCCACAACAGTCTACTACTCTCCCACTCTTGACTCAGCACCTACTACGCACTGACAGCCTCTACTGGCCCTTTAAAAACAATATGGGGGGGTGACCGATAGCCATTCCGACCAATAGACGACAGAGAATGGGCAACCTGAGGCCAATCGTGACACGGCTCTGCCGGAAGCCCCAAGAGTGCGGGTCACCCGCTCAGGACTCACCGCCGTTGCAGCCGAGACGCCATTACCAGACATGACTCCACTCAGGAAGTAGGCCGAGCGGTGCTACTAAGGTCTCCTGGGTTCCGTGGAACCGGGGACTCGGACCGGCGGGAACTGAGAGCACATCTAGCCGGAGCCTGTCCTTCGACCTGACTGCGGGACCGGCAGAGGGCTCTACGTCACGTCCGGCGCCCTCCCTCGGAGGGGAGGGACCATCCTCTGGGCGGGAATTAGAACACTGGCGGCGGAGCTGACCCTACCCCCGGCCTCCACGTGGTTCACACGGAAGGTGGGTTCCCTGTTAACCCAGAGATGTCCTTTTTCATTGTTTCTGTTCTTTTTGTCCGTACTGAAGATTGAAGGCAGGGAGTGCTGAGCTACATCCCTGGCCGCTTAAGTTTTTGTTAATTTTGAAACAGGGTCGCACTTCCAGGCTGGCCCCAAACTTGCAATCCTCCCGCTTTAGCCTCCCGAGGATCTGGGATCACAGGCGGGCGCCACCACGTCTGGGTACCACCTTTCTTGCATCAGGAAAATGTGTGGTCAGAGGGCAGGTACGCTGCAGTTTTATCTTATAAACTATCTGCAGTCTCCTCCTGCGGCCACTCAGATCTGTCAGCCAGAAATTAGTCGTGCCTTAGAGGAAAAGGGGGCTCTATTAACTAAAATGCTGGCTTTGAGGTACAAGGTACGGTACCGCGGCACCTGCGGAGGGTTCAGCGTCACGTCCTGGGCCCTCCTTCGGAGGGACCTTGCTCTGGGTGGGAACTAGAACCCTTGCGTCAGACCGGACCTCAGCCCCGGGTTCCACGCCGGGAGCTTTCGTCATTGACAAACAGAAGGGCTGTTCCAGAAGGCTCCACATGCTTAATTCTACAGCTTTGTCTCCCCAAGTGGCACAAGTAATTAGTGCAACTTATGTGACACTCTGTTCCTATCATTTGTTTATTTTTAAAAATTTTTATTTTTTGTAAGACGTGGAGTCTCACCACATGGTTCAGACTGGCCTCAAACAATAACCCTCCTGCCTCAGCCTCCTAAGTGCAGGGATCACAGGTGTGCGCCACCATTCCCGGCTTGGCTTTTTTTTTTTTTAAATGAGGAAACTGGTTCAGAGCTATTAAAGATTATGCCTAAAGACATAACGTAAATGAGAGTGCCAATACCACATTACCTTGTGTGGTGGGGATAGACTCAGGGACTTTACACTGAGCTGCTGAGACTTTTTGGTTCTTTCGACCTTTTTTTTTGTTTTTTGGTACTGGGGATCGAACGTGGGACCTGGCACCTGCAAGGCAGGTGGGGGAACCACTGAGCTAAATCCTTGGCCCCTCTGACCCTCCATATATATATATATGTTTTTGTGGGTTTTTTTGGTGGTGGTGATATTGGGGATGGAACTCGGGTCCTTGCGCTTGCAGGGCAGGCAGCGAAACCACTGAGCTAAATCCCCGGCCCTCACCCTTTTTATATTTTAGTTTTATATTTTAGTTTGAGACAGGGTCTTGCTAAGTCACCTTAGTCTCCCAGAGTGCTGGGATTACAGTGTGCCATCATGACTGGCAGTACTGAATTTTTGAAGGCTATCTAAATTACAATGTCCATGTTACTTCCTTCAGTTAAACAATCCTGTTGGAGCAATTTTCTTTCTTACACAGCAGGCGGCGAAACCACTGAGCTAAATCCCCGGCCCTGGAGCAGTTTTCTGACAGAAAGTATAACCTAGGTTACACAAAGACACCCAGTAACACAAAGCTAGTTGGCAACCTCAAAGAGGGAAAAGTGTTTCAATAAAAGATACTTAATGGGGCAAGGGGATAGCTCAGCGATGGAGCTTGCCTAGCATGCATGGACAACGCCCTAGGTTCCCTCCCCACTACCATCAAAAAAAAAAAAAAAGCCTACAGTAACTTTTGTTCTATCACTTGGTGTACTGAGTACAGCAAGACATCAACCTATCCATTATGAAGGCAGGCAGGGCCCAAGGTTCCCAGCCAGAACCTACCTCCTGCTTGAATATTTCCTGAACACAAGCCATGGAGACCAGCAAGACTAAAGACCAAGAAGCTCTTGTTTAGGGTGCTCTTGGAGCTGGGCTGAACCTTTTTTCCTATTTGGGGTATTTGTGTGTGTGCTGGGGATCAAATACAGAATCTGCACTGAGCAATATCCCCAGCACTTTTATTTTTTGAGACAAGGGTCTCATCAGGTTGCCCAGGCTGCCCTCAAACTTGTAGTCTTCCTGACTGCGCCTTACAAGTAGCTGAGATTATAGGCTTATACCACTGTCTGGCTCATCGGGCCTTCTATTCAATAAACAGAACTATACTAGATGCCACAGACCCCACCCACTACAAGGAAGTTTGTAGAAAGGGAACTGGGGTTCTGAAACAGAGGGAAAGTACATTATGCACAATTAAGAATCACCAGGGCTGGGGATTTAGCTCAGTGGTTCCGGCACCTGCCTCAAAAGCACAAGGACCTGAGTTCGATTCCTGGTACCAAAAAAAAAAATCACCAGAAAGTCTCCAGAAAAGAATCTTTCAGAGGTCAGATGTGGCACACTCCCATAATCCCAGCACTAGGAGGAAGTTTGAGGTCACCCTGGATTACACAACAAATTCGGTGCCAGCCTGAGCTACATATTGAGACCCTGTCTCAAAAAATAAACAATAGGGCCCAGGATTTAGCTCAGTGGTGCCAGCGCCTGTCTTGCAAGCACAAGACCCTGAGTTTGATCCCCAGTACCAAAGAAAAAAAAAATCTTTCAGCCCTCATAACATTATATTCTTTTATTTATAGACTCAGCAAGAACCCAAGCACAGCCTGGTGCTCCTGAATAAAGTAGCTATTGTCCACACTCTAGTTGCTGAGATCCCCTCCCCCACTAGTCTGGACTACTCTATGCTGCTAGTCAATGGGAGGGACAACAGGCTGGCAAAAGACGGCAGCAGGAAAAGAAAGTCCCCTTGAGTCCTGAGGGCAGTGGCATGTCAGACTAGAGCTATGTGCATTCCTGCCTGCCTTCTCTGCAGCCACAGCCTGCCTCAGTCCCACGTCGGTCTAGCTATGCCCAAGATCACATGCTTTCTGGTGAGCTGCTTAAGTGCCCCTCCTGGAGTGCATAAGCAGGTCCCGTTGCAGCCCAGCCTCTAGGCTGGGAGTCAGTCTGGCTGTGGGAGGGTCGGTCAGCAGAGTCAATTTGTTGAAAACACCTCGGCCAAAGTAGTCAGCAATCACAGAGAAACTGTCATTGGAGCACTTGAGCTGCAGGGAAAGAGGAAGGACCAAGAAAGAATCAAAATTAAAATGCTTGTTTCTTACCTGAGGAGAAAAGGAAACAAGCCCTGCAGTGCTCTGGAGGCTCTGATGCTGGTGGCAGCCTCCTGCCCGAAACAGCCCACTCATGCCCACCTGGTGCTGAAACTGATCATGGAGATCTCGCTTCTGTTCCTGAGCCCGGATCATATCCATGACCTTCCGGTTTTCAGGGAGGCAGGTGGGGCAGTCAGCATCACTTTCTGAGTAACTCTCAAAACAGTGTTGGTGGAATGAGTGGCCACACAGGAAGTGGACCGAGGGCAACTCCAAGGCACTATTACAAATGCTGCACTTGGTCTTCTGGAAAATCTTCGGACTACAGGCAAGGGACACCAGAAATGAGTGGCAAAGAGTGAAGGCAGGGCCAAGAGCCCAGAAGAGAGAAGGCAGCTGGCGTGGAGGAAGAAAGGTCCCTGCGAAGGGACACAGACCCCACCTGCTCTTCTTAACACCTAAAGGCAGTTAAATAAGAACAACCCCAGACTCAAGTGAGTTGAATAAGTACAAGTAACCAGGGAGATAAATTCCCTTTTGCAAGTGTCACAATGGCCACTAAATTCCCTTTGAAGTGTATACCTTCAGTGAGGTCTTTCCTGCCTTCTTTATCCAAAACCGGCATTTACAGAAAAAAAAGGAGGGTGAGGGAGAGTGCTTATTGAGCGTATGCAGGCCTTGAGTTCAAGCCATACACTACACACACAAACCAGCTGTGACTCCCTGCCTATTCCCCTTTCTCAGTTAATTTTCTCCTCAGAACTTACCACTAACACACTGTAATGATTTGCTTGTTTAAGGTGTTTACTGTTTCTATTGCCCTCAACGATGTGAGTGCCAAGAAAGTAGGACTTTTCGTGTGTGGTGCTGGGGTTAGAACCGAGGGGCTAGTGCTTGCTAGGAAAATGCCCTACCACTGAGCTATATCCCAGTCCAAAGCAGGGCTTTTTCTCTGTACTGTTCACAGTAGTGTTTAAAATCTAATAGAGCTTTAGTAAATATGTAATGAAGAAACTGTTGTTATGTAATAAATATTTTACAATGTTATGGGAAGATAAGGCTTGAGACTACCATAAGTAATTCTAAATTATCTGTTTTCTGCCTTTTTTTTTTTTTTTTATGAAGGGAGGATCAAACTTGGTAGGTGACTGGAGTTCAGACGGTGGCAAAACCACTGAGCTAAATCCCTGGCCCCTTCTGCATTTTTTTTGTTGTTTTGTTTTTGTGGTACCAGGGATTGAACTCAGCACCTCGCGCTTTCGAGGCAGGTGGGCACCACTGAGCTAAATCCCCGGCCCATGCTTTCTGCATTTTCTAATGCTAAATTTTTATTTCAGAATGGCTTCCAACCACACTCAGATGTGTGTTTAGAAAAGGTAAAATAGCCAGGTGTGGTGATGCATGACATTAATCCCAACACTTGGGAGGCTGAGACAGTAAGATCGCCATGAGTTTGAGGGCACCCTGAACTACATAGTGAGTTCAAGGCCACCCTGGACTACATAGCAAGACCCTGTCTAAAAAAAAAGAAAAGGTAAAATAGATGGATGGGGACATAGCTCAGTGGTACAGCATGTGCTTTGCATGCATGAGGCCCTTGGTTCCATCCCTAGCACTACAAAAAAAAAAAAATGAAAGCAGTCAAACATACTCCACACAATCTTCTATCTAGAAATAGTATGTTAACTACACCCGGTGAAGGCCAAGATCACCCCAGCACCCCTCCACATACTCAGATGCTAGTACCTCGCCTTGAGCTCTTGGATCTCCTGGCGGATATGGGTGGTCTCCTCTCGGTACCGTTGCACCCGAAGCTCATCCTGTGCAATCTGCTGGCTCTGTTTCTGCAGTTTTTGCACCAGGTAGTCTCTGATGACGGACAGGGTGGCTGTAGAGTTGTGGGCCAGGGTCTGCACCACTAAGAATGGAGTCAGAGAGGAAATAAGACAATGAACCAAGCAGCACCCTTGGGACAGAGTCAAGGGCACCTTGCCACAGACCCCCTGTCAGCACCCTGTTGCCCAGTCATCCCATCCCATCCCACATACCTAGAAGGGGTGGCATGAGGTTCTTGTTCTCAATATGCTTAAGCACAGCAGCCACATACTCCTTGCAGTCCTCCTCCTTGCGGGCAAAGTAGCTTAGGGCCTGTTCCCACAGGGAGGGGTCCTGTTCTCCGTGCCGCTCGCACACAGCGATCACCTGCCGGTACTGCTCGTGCTGCATGTGGTAGTGCATGATCTGCTGGAACCTAGGCCAGGGGAAGGGCACACCTCAGTGGCTGTCCCTGGAAAATGATCTGGATTGTCCCCTTCCTCTGGAAATCTCCAAACTTACAGCTTCCCCTGCTCATAGAGGTAAAGGACTCCATCCTGGAAGTCATGCATCTGACATAGGACTAGTGCCTTGTCAAAGACATCGCAGAAGCGGCCACTCTTCAGCAGGGAGATGGTCTCTGCATGAAGCTTCTCTTTAACCTAGGGAAGGAGAATATAAGGGGAAAATCACAAGGTCTCTTGGGACAAGGCCAGCCAACCATCTCTTTCCCTCAGTCCAATTTCCTCTTTATTGAAGACCATTAAGCTGCAAGGGTAAGGTGTCACTGGTCTAGTGAAAGGCAGCCACAGAGATGCAAGAGTGAAGACAGCAGGGGCTGGAGATTTAGCTCAGTGGTGCTGTGCCTGCCTCACAAGTGCAAGGTTCTGAGTTCAATCCCCGGTACCAAAAAAATAAATAAGAGTGAAGATAGCAAGAACTATTGTTATTTTGGTGGTAGTGCTGATGGTTGAACCAGACCTTCACACATGCAGGGCAGGCACTCTATCACCAATGCCTCCAGCACAAGAACTGTCTTGTCAGCCAGGTAAGGTGGTACATGCATATAATACCAACACTTGGGAGGCTGAGGCAGGAGGATAGCCTGAGGCCAGCCTGAACTAAGAAGCAATACCCTGTCTCAAGAACACAGTAACAGGGGCCCAGGATTTAGCTCAGTGGTTCCGCCACCTGGCCCGCAAACAGAAGGGCCCGAGTTCGATCCCCAGTACCCCCCAAAAAAACCCCACAGTAACAACAAAGAAAACAACAAAAAACAAAACCAAAACAAAAGAACTTCTCTCTAACTCCTGCAGCTCTGGAGAGGCCTCACCTGAGGATCTTTCTCATGGGCCCAGTTCTGCAGCCGAAGCTCAAGGAGTGTATCATAAATGCCCTGGGGTGAGTCTGGCTGCACTTCACTCATGTGCTCTAGGAAGGCTTTCAGCTCTCGAGGGTTGTTTGCAAAGATGGGAATGAACTCCTCAGAATTGGCCTAGAATGGAGGAAGGAGAGAGGGGGCTGAGTGGGGTTGGTACCCAGAAGTCCCCTAAAGTAACCCCTACTGCCAATGCTATTTCCCCCTAAGTCAGTGACAGAAAACCTTTTAGAGCTTTCAACAATACAAACAGCCTGCTACAGCACACATGCCATAGGTTCGCCACCACTGCGCTAGGTCTTACCCTGCAATCTGGCGCCTCTTTATCAGCTCGGCCTTCCAGGTTGGGTCGATAGTCAGTACAAAGGCCCTTTAGCAACTGTGTGGTCTGCTCTGGTATGTGGTGCATAAGGATCTTGCCATAGCGCTTCATGTTGCTCTCTGCCTGCTCAAAAGGCAGTTTGCCAATGTACCGAAGGGCTTCTTGATAATTCTGTGGAGAAGTAAAGGGCAGAGTAGTATCCACTACTGCCTTACCCACCAGGAACCACTTTCATCAATCCAGGGCTCTTCCTCACCTACCTTAATGTCCTCAAGCTGGATCTTCAAGTACCACTCATGATGTGCATGGTTCTCAGCCAGATAGAGTGCATGTGAGTAGTAGCCAGCCTGTCGCAGGACCTTGATGGCTGTCTCCACATCAAAGTGGACTTCACTCTCACTCTTTGTCTGCCAGAGAGACATTATACAAAATCATTCACACAGATATGGCTGAAGGGAGAGGAAACAGGCATCTGAGACTGACACATTTCTAACATGATAATAAAGTCCATGTTTTTTTTTTTTTCAGATGGTCTCACTATGTAGTTCAGGCTGGCCTCAAGCTCACTATGTAGCCCAGGCTGATCTCGAATTCACAGTAATCCTCTTGCCTCAGCCTTCTGAGTACTGGGATTACAGGCATGTGCCACCCAGCCTGGCTTCACACTTTGAAAACAGGCAAGCTGCCTTCTCAGAGTTTCTAACTAAAGACCACTTCTGGTGACACAGAGCTTTCCTAATGCTACTTCCTTAGCCTTAGATGCCATGGGAAGTTCTGGTATCATAAAACAAGAAGAGAGACAAGAGAAAACTAATATGAATAGCTGCTCCTCTTCCCCATTTATACAGTACAGGGTGCTGGTTCTCAAATGAAGTCAGCCCTTTCCCTGTGTCCTGTACCTTAATGAATTCCTCCAACTTTGAGCTGTCTTTGAGCTTAGTATAGCAGTTTAGGAGCAAGGTGGTATGGTCAGCATTGGCCAGGGACTGTCGGTGCAGGGTCTGCAGGTATGCAGTCAGGTTGTGGATACGCTGGGCATCCAGAAACTTGCGGATCACATAGGATGGCTCCAACTTTCCAATAGTTCTAGGGAGATGCAGATATCAATAGTATCTGGATCAGTGTACTTCACAAACACACGTGCAAAGGAATCAACCTGAAGATCTTGTTAAAATACCAATTCTGATTCAGTAGGTCTTGAGTGAGTACTAAGAGTGCATTTCTAACAAAATCCCAGGTAGTATCTGTGCAATGAGACTGAACTGCACTAAGTAGCAAGGATCCAGTGCCAGTGCACCAGTTCTTTTTTCTTTTTTTTTTTTTTTGGTACTGGGGATTGAACCCATGGCTTTCACACTAAGCTACATCCTGAGCCTTTTTTAAAAAATCTGAATTTTGAGACAGGGTTTCCTAAGTTGACTGCCCAGGCTGGGCTTGAACTTGTAATCCTCCTGCCTCAGCCTCTGAGAATGCTGGTATTACAAGCATGTGCTACCATGCCCAGTAAGCACTGGCTCTTTTTTTTTTTTTTTTTCAGTACCGGGAATCAAAACTCAAGACCTTGCACTTGCCAGGCAGGCATGGCGCTGCTGAGCTACATCCCCAGCAACAACCCACCCCCCCTTTTTAATGGTAGCAAAGTTTTATTAAAGGTAGGAAAAGAAACAGGCTCTGCAAAGTGAGTTTAGGCAAAGTAAAAGTAGGAAAATTAGTAACACCCTACAGCGTAAGGACAGGCCACCATGCAAGAGAACAGAGCGGCCAGTACTAGTTCTTAAATTGGACTGACAAGAGGAATTCTAGAGAGCTTGATAGCATTATAAAACTTGTTATTGGGGCAGAAATTACAAGAATTAGTACCTTTTTTCTTTAAAAAAAATTAGGTCAAAAGGATTATTACCAAAGGTCATCCCAAAGTTTAAAATGAGAATTATCAGCTCAGTTGCATACTACACATGTAATATTTAACACTAAATATTCCCTTTCCCACAAGATGTCCTTTCATTTGAGGCACCAGTTTCTGTAGGACACATGAACAGTCCAGGTGCTCAAGCTCCTCCCCCAGCATGGGTTTCAGCTGTCTGGCCACCTAACTCTGCATTCAGAGGTATACTCCTCAGTCCCTCCAGACTGACCGGATATACTGCTGAACAGCTCCATCATGGTTGCCCTTGCTATAGAGATGGTCTCCATACTGCATGAAGATCTGGGCTAGCCCATCACTATCCAGATGTTGGCTCTTGGCCAGGTTAATTGCCATCTCAAATAGGTTCTTCTTAAACAGCATCTAAGATGGGAGAGAGATTAGAAAATTGGTAAAAATCCTGAGAAGACATTTTCCCAAAATGTGCCTACAACACACAAGCCAGACAGTCCTGGAATTCCAATCCGCCTAGATTCTAGACACAGATAGACCCCCCACATACTCCCAAGACCAGTATCACTTTGCCTTATAAGGGTCTCTGCAAACAAAAGTAAACCCTGAGAAAGGGCTCAGGCTCCTAGCCATTACTTCCCTTCAAAACCTCATCCAGGGGCCAAGGATTTAGCTCAGTGGTTTCGCCGCCTACTGTGCAAGGGCAAGGACCACAGTTCGATCCCCGGGACCCGCCCCCCCCAAAAAAAACAACCTCATCCAGGGGCTGGGGATTTAGCTCAGTGGCACCGAACCTGCCTTGAAAGTGCAAGGTCCTGAATTTGATCCCCAGCACAAAAAAACCCCACCTAATCCTAGGCCATTTACTCTGTTATCCTACTCTAAGGAAGCTATAAGATTGTGACCCAAAGAAAATCACCCTGGGTCTGGCTGACTTAGGAAACCTGGTCCTGTAGTTTCAAGGTGCCTGTGCCAGCCCTGGGAACCTGGTAGTCTTGCCTCCAGTTTGGTCTGTGTGTCCTTCTCCTGCAGGGCGTGGACCCGCCCATCCCGCGTCAGCACGTACAGGGACCCCCACTCAGCAAGCACATCCACTACATCCTCAAAAACAGCACTATAGGCTATAAACTTGTTGCACAGGTCATAGATGTTGAGAATCTGCTTGTCGGAGCTCTGTGAGTCCCTGCTGGTAAACTCTGACCTGTGTAGGAAAGAAAAAGCAGCAGATACTTGGCCACCTTTGTGTTAACTCCCCTTTGTTTCCTTTCCCATGACAATTCTGGGGCTGCCTATTCCACCCAGAATAAATCACCTCTTTGGCCCCACTAACAGCTCATCCTGTAACATACAGCATTGTGCTGGTAGCTGCAGACAAAAAACATATAATCCTGATCTTGCCTTTTAGGATTCTGTAATTAATCCAGGCCAATAGAGTAGAAAATTAACTACATTCAGATATCCATTCATTTAACAAATATTCATCAAATTCCTGGTATATGTAAGATACTGTGTTTAGTACTGAATGGAAAAAAGCCAACATCTAATAGCAAGTACTTCTCGCTAAAAGACCCTACCTTCTCCTTTTAGTGGCTCTGGAAAACACCAACAGAACTTTGTCCCAGCACTTCCCAGCACTTTCCCATTTCTCCACCACTCAGTCTCTTGCTTCTTTGCTCAATTTTTTTTAGGGGGTGTGGCATCACGGGATCAAACCCAGGGCTTTGTGTATGCCAGCAATGCCCAACTTATTTTGACTAAAGAGTAAAAAATCCAATACCAGGTCTAAATTCCCCCAGAGCATTTTAGTACACCAAGACTATGCAGTAAGCATATGCAGCAAAAACAAGTTTTTTGGTAAAACATATAACTGAGCCTTGGTAGAAGTGTGATCTATAGGACACCAAAGCAGAAGATTGGAAGGATCTAGGCATTAGGACATTAAAATCAGGTTAATGGTGGGGAACAAGTCCAGCCCTCTCCCTGGAGTCCTTACTTGGGAGAAACCTTTCGGTCATGGGAGACAATGACCAGGTAGCCTCTAAACCAGTGGGCGATGAGCTTATGGCCCTCAAAGGCGAAGCAGGGCCCACGTTCATCAGGCTGATAGAGGTAGACACACTCATCCCCGGCCACAATGAACTGCAGGTCCTGAGAAGGGTCACTTAGGGCTGAGCAACGCAGGCCACAACCATGGGTATCCAACTCCACACGAGGGTAATCCTTTCCAGAAACTATATAGGACTGCCAGAAGTAAGAAAAGGGTTAGCAGGTTCTCTCTGAAGAGGTACTACCTAAGCCTTCATAAAGATCACCCTATCTCTATATGGCATTTTCCCCACTTACCATTCTAAGACTTTGTCTTGGCTTCCTGCCTTCTCCATTAACTATCATTCACCTATTAATATATAACCAGGGGCCATATTTTCTTTCTCTTTATGTGGTATCACTACCTAGTACATGAATTCTGCAGATGAGAGAAATACAATAGTCTTTTAGTGTTTTATCAAAAGAGTATTCCTGGCGCAAGCGCAAGGTCCCGAGTTTAATCCCCGGTACCAAAAAAAAAAAGAGTATTCCTGGGCTGGGAGCATAGTTCAGTGGTAGAGTACATGTATAGCATGTATAAGACCCCGGGTTCAATCCCCAGCACCACAAAACAAAACAAGTATTCTTGAAAGAGTGGGCTGTTAGAAGTACCAGGAACCAGAAAGGTAAAGTACCTTGTCTAATGTCACTTAACCAGTTAGGTAAAAAAATCATGTCTTTTAAGTTCTTTTCCTAAATCTAGCTCCTCAAGTCTCCTAAGTAAAGAAACAAAGTATTAAGCTGGGCAAATGATTCAAGACTATATGGTGAGAGTCAGGCGTGGTGTCACACGCCTGTAATCCTAGCACTTGGGAGGCTGAGGCAAGAGGATCACCACAATGAGGCCAGCCTGGGCTAAATAGTGAATTCAGGGCCAGCCTGAACTAGAGAGAGACCCTGCCTCAAAAAAAAACCAAAAAAAGGGCCAGGATTTAGCTCAGGGGCACCTTGCCTGCCTTGCAAGCACAAGGTCCTGAGTTTGATCCCCGGTACAAAAAAAAAAAAAGACTATATGGTGAAAATCTTGACTCCTATCTGTCCTATCAGTTCCTTACTCTAATTCCCTGAGCAATAGAGAGGTACTTGTTGCCTGTTTTTTTTTGGTACCGGGATTGAACTCGGGTCCTTGCCTTTGCGCAGCAGGTGGCAAAACCACTGAGCTAAATCCCCGGCCCAGCCTGCTTTTAAGAGTAGTAAGCCTTGATTATACCTGGACATTCTCAGTTGTCACAACAAATAAGTGTGTGGTCTTTCCTGCTTGGCGAAAAGCCAGTCCAGTAACAGGATAGTTGCCCTTGTGCAAAATCTGGGTCTTGCTATGTCGGTCCCGGGTTATATCTCCTTTGTTCAATTTAACACTGCCATCTGTGAAACCTGTTAAAGAGCAGGAATCAGCACTTCAATGAGACTGAAATGATCAGGCTAATGACTATTTGAGGCTCTCAAGAGGACTGCCATGAGTTCAAGCCCACCCTGGGCTACAAGGTTAGCCTGAACTGCATATTGAGACCCTGTCTCAAAAAAACAAAAACAACAACAAAAAGGTTATAAGGAAAGAAATAATAAGCTTTTTCCTCATACTTGACTTCTCTAATGGTTAATCTGAATACTGGAAATCACCTTCTTTTTGGTTTTGGGCGGTTTTTTTGGCTTTTTTGGCACCAAGGATCGAACTCGGGACCTTGTGCTTTCCAGGCAGGCGGCAGCGGAACTACTGAGCTAAATCCCCAGCCCTGTTTTGTATTTATTTTTTGAAACGGGGTCTCACTATGTAGTCCAGGCTGGCCTCAAACTTGCAGTGATCTCCTGCCTCAGCCTGGGATTACAAGTGTGTGCTACCACACTGATTCATTTTCAAAGAACAAAAGTAATCCAGGTATGACAGACACACCTGTAATGCCAGCACTTGGGAGGCTGAGACAGGAGGACTGAAATTTGAATTCCACTGGACAACTTAAGATTCTTTCTCAAAATGAAAACTGCTGGGGATGCAATTCAGTGAAAGTCCTGAGTTCAAGCCCCAGTACCACAATACAAAAAGAAAAAACAAGCTGGGCATGGTGGCGCACACCTATAGTCCGAACATTGGGAAGGCTGAGGCAAGAAGATTGCAGTGAGTTCAAGGCCAGCCTGGACTACACAGTGAGCTCAGGACAGCCTTAACTACATAGCAAGACCCTGTCTCAAAACAAAAAGAAAAATCAAACCAAAGAACAAAACTACATTATCTCAAAGGCCTCAGTTTAGTACAAAATGATCTTGTGAAAATAACATGAGCTGTGTTATAAAAACAAAAATCTATAAAGAATCAGTAAGTGTTAGCTTTCCTTTCATTCTACTTACCGATGGCCATAAAGTTGAGATTTTCATGGACAGTCAAACAAGACACTACAGTTGGCTCGGTTCCTGGGATGGCCGGGAAGATTCGAGTGCAGAGTGGATTGCCACCATCTCTCTTCTCCAGGTTCCAGATCTTTACCTATGGACAGAATGCAGATGTGTCAATACTACTCTTCCTATAAGAACAAGAACAGGGAAAAAAAACTGCTAGGCTTCCAAGTTTTTCCTTTCTAGGACTTACCAGGGGGTTGATACCTTCTTCATCCTCACCAACAGATGCCAAAATATTGTGCTGCTTCAGTTGGTATAAGTGTGTCACTCTTAGTTTGTAGGCCTGGAAGCCTGTGAGCTGTAGGGAGCGTGGCAAGAACCAGATTTGGCCTTCCATATGTGCAGCCGTAGTCAAGGATCCTCCTTTCCAAGGAGTAATATAGCAATTACCCCTATGGTTTTACTTCAGTTACCTGCAGTCAACCGAGGTCTGAAGGGCTAAAAATATTACTATAGTATAGTACAATGAGGAATTAAATTTTTAAAAAAATTTTTTCCAGTACCAGGGATCAAACTCAGGACCTTGCATTTACGAGGCAGCCATAGTGCCACTGAGCTAAATCCCCAGGCCAGGAATTAAAAAATTTTGAAAGACCACATTCACACAATTTCAGTACCATAAATTGTTAAAATTTTCTAGTATGAAAGTGATATGCATTCAGTAGAAATTGTACTTGGAATTTTGATCATGTCCTAGGCTAAGGAAACAGGTACTCTTATGATGGTGGGAAGCCAGACCAATATTCTACAGTATACTGTGTTGCTAATCTATAACGGTGGGCAGGTTAGATATATTAAATACACCTTACTTACAATACTTTAAACTTATGAGTTTATCTGGACATAGCCCCATGATCAGTTGAAGAACATCTGTATAGGAAAAAAAAAAAGTACCTAAGGGCTTCCCTACTATCTGCAATTTCAGTTATCCATTGAGGGCGTACTGTATTTAAACCAAAACACAGACAATAACAAGCATGCATGCAGCTCTTTAAAAATGTAAAGGGGAAAAAAAATAAATAAAAATGTAAAGGGTTTTTCCACACCTTTTTTCAAGAACAAAGCAACAAACTCCTGCTCTCATTTACCTCCTCGCCCACCATATCAGGCAGAAGAGATGCCTCATTATATATTCATCTTTTTTTTTTTTGGTTCCGGGGATCAAACTCAGGACCTCGCGCCAAGGCAGGCCCCAGAACCACTGAGCTAAATCCCCGGCCCCACATACTCGTCTGTAAAGGGAAAGATGCATCTATTTTGAGGGACTAATCTAAAAATAACCGTGTCAAGTTGGCATTTACACACCTTTTACAGATAAATTGAAGCCTAGATAGGTTAAATGACTTGCCCAGGATTGCCCAGTTGACAAGCTAGAGAAGGGTCTCCTTTCTTCCCTCAGGCCACAGAAGAGCTCTGGGCTCCCATCTAATGGAAAGTGGAGCTAAATACGAACCACTCTGACAGCGTTCATTCCAACTGGATCTCTTCAGGGATCCGAGGGAAAAGACACCTCTAAAGGAAGGATATCTCCAAAGACCAGGCTCCCTCGGCCTGAGTCGCAGACGGTGATGCCAGAAGGAAGGCAAAGGAACTTGGAAGCAGTGGATCCAGAAGCAGGTGTAGGCCCAGGAGCGGCCCCATCATTGCCTAGTGGCTCCTTCACGAGCTCTTTGTCGAAGAAAACGAAGCGCCGCCACTGTAGGTAGGCCGCCATCTTGGCCGAGGGTCTCCGTCTCCAGAAGCAAAATCACGTGAGCGGAGTCAAGATCATGTGACCAGCAGCTTCCGCGACCTTGCGCAGAGGCGTGTTCAGGTCTGGATGACAGCTTGCAGTTGCTCCGCGAGGGAGTTGGGTGGCGTGCTCTCGGGCTCGCAGCAAGGCAATGGCTACACACAGTAGTTTGCTGGTTTTGTAGCTGCACTGCATAAAATGCGTAAGAGGTGGGTCCGTCACTTCTCCAAGGATCAGTTTCCTCCTATGTAAAATACGCAGGCTAACCAAGGGCTCAAGAAAAAGTATGTAAGGCGTTTTGTGATTTGTAACCCACTGTGCCTCAATGAATTATTTTGACCTCCCAGGGCTATTTCAGGGCACAAGTGACACAGTATATACATAAAACTGGTTTTTCAGCTGTAGTAAAGAAGTAGAAGTTTGTGTCTGCCACAGTGTCTTGTATTCTTTTTTTGCTTACACCTGTCAGAGCATGAAACTCAATGGACATTCAAAACATGTTTCTTCAGAAAATGGAAATACTGATAAGGGCTCGAACTTCCAGAACCGTGTGCCTTCTCCTGCTTTTTTTTTTTCTCTCTCTCCTCTCTTTTAAGACATGGATTCACTATATAGTCCAGGCTGGTCTCAAATTTGTGACAATCTTCCCATGTCAGCCTCCTGAACGCTGGGATTACAGCCGTTCTTCACCATGCCCAGCTCCTCCGCTTTCTATAGTGGCAGAGCATGGGACAGAAAAAGAACAGAGCAAATGCCTGAAAGTGGCAGCTTTGAGAGCTGAGTGATTTAACAAGTGACAAATATGCAAGATACTCCTTGGCGACTCTCCATTCCCAAGTCTGGCTAACCCAGATTTCTGTGCAAGTACGAGTTTTCCTCATGAATAACTATAGGTAGACTGTTTCTGTGCCATAAGGAACTGTGCACAGGAGTGACAATCATTTTGAGGTAGTATGGATATGTATAAAAGTGGCCAGATGTTTACTTTTTGTGAGGTTTATTTGTCCACCCTTCTCACACACACAACTTTTTGTTTTCAGACGAGTGTACTTTTTTTTTCCTGACGCCCCGAAGATTGAACCAAGGGCTTCATATGTGCCAAGCACATATTCTAACACTAAACTACATCTTTGACCCTTTTTTATTTTTGAGACAGGGTTGTCCAGAGTTGTCCAGGCTGGCCTCTATCTTATAATTGTTCTTCCTCAGCCTCTACAGTAGCTTACAGGTGTGCACCACCGTGCCAGGCTCAGGAGACTGTTCCCTTTATTCCCATCCGCCTGACTTCCCCAAGTGCAGGGTTGTATCTTGTTTACTATGAAGTAGGCCTAGCAGACCCTGATAGATGTCCCATGTTTGGTTGAAGGAATGAATGTGGATGACTAAGCCCTTGCTTCCTGTGGTTTCAGGGCAGGTATCATCCATTTGTTGGAAGAGATAAATGACAGAAAGAAACCATGTAGCCAACCATAGGCCCACAGATGTCCTGACTCTGAGCTCATTGTTCTTTCCTCTTTGCTGCACAGATATTGGAACTGTTTTAGGGTTCCAGCTCATGGGCAGAAGCAAAAATGGAGAGCATACTTTCATCTCAGCATATTTCCTACTGCGCATCAGAATTTTCAGATAGTATGTTAACGTGTCAGTTGTTAAGACTATGAAGACTATGTATTAGCAAAGTAGTAAGAAACCAAAAACAGATGTGAATGGTATGTGGATGTCCTCTTTATTGTTGACTTGGGTGCTCCCCTGGCTGTCCAAACAGTAGAGATCTCCCTTTGATATATGAATCTGGTCCTGCCTAGTGGGTCTTTTGTTTGTTTAATTGTAATCTTAAATTTTTTTTAGTACACTGTACATGTCTGTAGTACATAATGATTACATTCATTATAGGGTGTTGGTACAAGTGCATAACACATCTCATTGTTCTCTACGTCTCTTTCCCCTCTGCTCTCTCCTTCCTGCATCTCTTGGTCCTTTTCCTATTTTGGGTCTCTTATTGAGTGATACCAAGGCAGAGATGAGCCATCCAGAGCAACATACAGTACCTCTTCAGACTTACTACCTTTCTTCCTTCATCTACTTACATGTGTTTGAGCACTGCCTATGTCTGGAATTGTACTACATGCTTAAAATATAAATGAACAAACATGGTCATTAGCCACCACCCTAAGGGACAGGCATAAAAAGGGTTGACACTAACCAACACTTATTTTCATGTAGCAAATTATACCTGACAGAGTCCTTTCACTTTTCATGAAATCTTCATACTGTGGGACTGCATAACCTTTGTTCCTTTTTCTCCAGCCCCATTGTGATTAAAATGTGAGTTAATGGATGGAGATGCTTGTTAGTTTAGGGACACTAGATAGGGATCTGTAACAGACCTAGAGTCCCAGAGTAAACTACTCAACTCTTTGTTTACCCGGAACTGCTATTCCAGGCACCACAATTGTTAGAACAAGCTGCAGATGTCTGCTGACCATCAATATGTGACAGTCGACCACTAACCTTTGTCCCCTTTTCTTTAATTCTATATGTTAACTTCCCCCTCAACCCCCTATAAAAACAGCCTCGGATTCTGAGCCAGTTGCCTCTCTAAGCTATTTTGCTTTGGGAGTGCCGTCTGGCCAGACTAATAAAGGTCTGTTTTCCAACTTGTCCGGTGTGTTCCTTCCAGGGTGTTCTTCGCTGTAGTCAGCTCCTTGGAGCGTTTGGTAAGGCTCTTGGTCTTACATTCTGAAGGCACCGCTGGGATTCCTGGGTGTGCTTCACTAGTCAGCTCCTTGGAGCGTTTGGTAAGGCCCTCGGTCTTACAATACCAGCCATCTGCAGAAGAACTATCATTATCTCGGGGAAGAAACAGCCTCAAAGAAGTTAAAATTACTCTCTCTGGCCAAAAACATCAAAGTTGTTTGGAAATAAAATGAGAGTTCTTTTGTCCCCTAACTTCTAATTAGACAGTTTTCTGTACACTTGTCAGAACACATACCAGGGTTTATCTATTAGTTATACTTGTCTAAATTCAGGAACTTCAGATCAGCCTCCTGATACAGACTTACATGGGACACTGTAGTGAGTTTCAAACCTTTAGCTGGATCCTTCAGATCTCCAGTGTGCAGACAAACCCTCTGCACTCTTCCACATGTGACTCTGTGAGTGGCCATTGCATAAAAACAATTTTGAGGACTTCTGGAAAGATGGCAGAGTGGTGGACAGCAGAGAAACAGCCTCTCCAAGATTTGGTGTCCAGATGCTGGAATATAGCAATGTGAGGAAGAGAGGAAGGAGGGAAGTGGGTCCCCAGGACCTAGCAAGGATCTGAAGAGAGAACTGAAGCCCATGGGGAGAGTGAAGAGAAAGACCTCAATGCAGAAGAAGAAGGTAGCAAGTGGTACTTTCTCCCTGAGCCCTGACTCACTTCATGGAAGGAGGGGCTGGAACCTGGAGATCCATGGTGACTACTGGTGACCCCAGAGGCTTCCATGAAGAAATGCACCAGTGGAATGGAGCAGTGGACACAGTGGACTGCAGTGGCTAGTGAGTTATTCAGGTTCAGATGTCCCCCAGGAGAGGGTGATTGGCCGGTCACAATCTTGGAGAGAAGCCAACTGAATTTGGACCTTAGAGCAGCTGCAGGCTGGGTCCATCTAGCAGCTCCCAGTGTCAGGGTGAAGTAGAACTAAGTTTAAGTCAACAGGAGGTCAAGGAACTGAGTTCAAGCCAGCAGGAGCTGAGTTCAAGTGGGCAGGAGGCACAGAGTGCTGCAAGCTGAACAAATTGAGTTCCAGCCTCATAGCCAGAAACCAACCTCAACTCCAGTGGAACTAAAGGTCCAGGCTTGCTGGGACCATCCACTACCTGCCATAAATCTACACCTGGCTTGCCGGGATTAATCAACACAGATCTGGGTTCTGTTTGTTCACTTTGTCTACCAGTGAAAGCAGAGACATGTCATAAAATGGATATTTTTTTCTCCTCTTTCCTTCTTTTTCTCTCTCTCTCTTTTTTTTTTGGTTTCTTCATTTTGTTTTGATTTCTTTTTCTTGATTGTTCTTGTTTTGTTTGTTTGTTTTAATTTTTTGGTACTGGGATCGAATTCAGGACCTTACGCTTGCAAGGCAGGCGGCAGCACCACTGAGCTAAATCCCCAGCCCTGTTCTTGTCTTTATATGCGTGCAAACATTGTTTCTAGTTTTCTTGTTGTTGTTCTGTTTTGTTCTCATTTTTATTTCTTCCTTCTCTCTTTCCCTCCTCTCTTCTTCACTAGTTTCCCAAAGTTCATGTAATCTTCCTTTGTCCTCCAGCCTTGCTTCTAATGTCTTCTTCTATTCCTTTATTTTTCACCTAACCACTTTTAAATTTTCGCATCTGAGGGTAAAATCACCATATTGAGAGTATATTTACTGTATACAATTTTCTGGTTTGTTTTAGATTTTGTTATATAACCACAAATAGAGTTCATATGGTCACAGGTGGCAAATTAATAGTTAATGGACATGAAAGATCAAATAAGCATTAATACAATTATAATGGGAGACTTCAATACCCCACTGTCATAAATAGACAGATCAACTAGACAAAATACCAACAATGAAATATTAGAACTGAACCAAACTTGAACAAATGGACTTAGTAGATGTCTACAGAGTGTTCTACCCCACAACATCAGAATACACATTCTTAGCTGCACATAGGACATTCTCCAAAATAGGTCCTATACTCGCTCAGAGAACATGCTAAAGTGAATGCAAATGAATTGAAATTATCCCAAGCATATTACCAGACCATAGTGCAATGAAATTGTAAATCAGTGGCAGAAGAAACCACAAGAACTTCATAAACATATGAAAATTAAATAACACCCTCCTGGGTCACAGATGAAATTAGAGAAGAAATTAGATAGTTTCTACAACTGAACAATAATACCAATACAACATACCAGAACTTATGGGATGCAATGAAAACAATCCTATGAGGGAAATTTATTTGGTGAATACCCATATCAGAAAAACA